CTGACCGTTCTCGGATTCTCCACACTGAATATACATACATACGATATGTAAGGATCTTGTATCACACGTAATCACTTTCCAATTGACATACATACACCCTCTGTATATATATACTCACCATTCGGTGCTTTGTATAGAAATCACATCACCAGTCATCTATACTGTATACTTACCTTGTAGTATGTGTTGATATTATGCAATACCTAGAAATATACGCCCAATTCCTGGATATGGTAGAAACATTAACAACTTTTCAACAAGGAAGTGCACACAAACTCTATTTATAGATTTCGTTATATTGGGGAAATCCCACATACATACTACATACATAATAAGTACAGTCAGAGACGTATATATCACGATATTTGGGCTAGTTTCATATCTCTGAGATATATACGTCTGTGGTAAAGTGTAATAAAAGTATGACCGATAACATTTTGATACCGCTATAGCTGTTAATGTAGGAATTTTATATAAACATAACCATATAGCTGAGACTTCAGATATCTTTAGATAATATAGACGTATATAAATAATATTTAAGACCTATATAAGTAATATATAAACAATTCGATATCTCGTGCATGTTTATAAATTAGCAAAGTCTTGCAACTTGTACTTTTATTCTGAAGTTTTCTTTTTATCGTGTTTACATGGACTTGAATATATTCTTATCCAGGATGTTAATAAATAAATTAATGTTAATCAATGTAATAAATATATGTATATATATATAATGTAGATATAATGAGTGGTCGTTCACTAAGGCTGGTGAAGTGTGGCACTTTGTAAACTAACTTTAAATTACGAGAGTATATAAATATTCAGTGTATATCTGATAGATCTACATGTGTTCAACTTCAGAATTCACGGCTTAATTACTTCGTTCAGGAATAAAGAATGAATTTATATCAACCACGACAGAATTGCTTATCTATGTGATTAAACCGCACAACATGCGCACAAATATGCGATAACTTTTTTTGTTCAGTTTCCCTATCGTGCAGATATCATGCGCATATATTGAAAACATCGTGTCATCTAAGCAAGATCGCTCACACGTGTTTGAGTTATCTCCCTTAGCATCCAAATAATAGGTTCTACACAATACATAGAGGAGCAGTACACATCTTATACATGTTTATAAATCTGAACAAAAAACAATAAGTTTCATTTCATACGTTATAAAGGTAAGAAAAATGGATATAACAGTTCAAAATAACTCTTTTTAACATGTTTGTACAATCTAAAAAACCTTGCAGAATTTTATTTCTGTCTACGTGACACAGAATACGTTTCAATTTAAAAGTTATTTTACCTCCGTTATACACTTATCCACAATATACTGTATGACTAAAATTAAGATGAATTAACAGAACTATCGCTTTATTCTTGGATCACAATACCATCTGCCAGTGGGGTATGTAAAATGGGTTTTTTTCAATATATGTTCAATAAGTAAAAGTTTATACATCACAATTAGTCATCTGATCACTTTATAACTTTATAAGCTTTAATTTTATAAAACTTCATAAATTTTTAAAAAGCTTGTTTCCCCTTTATCGTGTTCTGAACACCACTTATTTGGTCAATTCTTTCAGACAACAGAAAAATATCATGTAAATGATTTTATTATCAATATTATTGTCTCACACACATATACTGAATACACGACTATCTCATACATATATACTGAATACACGATTGTCTCACACACATACTGAATACACGACTATCTCATACATATACTGAATACACGACTATCTCATACATATACTGAATACACGACTATCTCATACATATACTGAATACACGACTATCTCATACATATATTGAATACACGACTATCTCATACATATACTGAATACACGACTATCTCACACACATACTGAATACACGACTATCTCATACATATACTGAATACACGACTATCTCACATACATATTGTTTCATACATATACTGAATACACTACATATATACTGAATACACGACTATCTCACACACATACTGAATGACTATCTCATACATATACGACTATCTCATACATATATGAATACACGACTATCTCATACATATACTGAATACACGACTATCTCATACATATACTGAATACACGACTATCTCATACATATACTGAATACACGACTATCTCATACATATACTGAATACACGACTATCTCATACATATACTGAATACACGACTATCTCATACATATACTGAATACACGACTATCTCATACATATATACTGAATACACGACTATCTCACACACATACTGAATACACGACTATCTCATACATATATACTGAATACACGACTATCTCACACACATACTGAATACACGACTATCTCATACATATATACTGAATACACGACTATCTCACACACATACTGAATACACGACTATCTCATACATATATACTGAATACACGACTATCTCATACACATACTGAATACACGACTATCTCATACATATACTGAATACACGACTATCTCATACATATACTGAATACACACACACATATATACTGAATACACGACTATCTCACACACATACTGAATACACGACTATCTCATACATATATACTGAATACACGACTATCTCACACACATACTGAATACACGACTATCTCATACATATATACTGAATACACGACTATCTCACACACATACTGAATACACGACTATCTCATACATATATACTGAATACACGACTATCTCACACACATACTGAATACACGACTATCTCATACATATACTGAATACACGACTATCTCATACATATACTAAATACACGATTGTTTCATACATATACTGAATACACGATTGTCCCGTACATATACTGAATACACGTTATCATTCTTTTGGGAAAAAGACAATATTTTTGTAGATATTTTCTTAGCTTTGAATTCTTTAGGTAAATCCTATGGAATAACTCCTACTTAGCTTGAGGTCCAAATGGTCGTTCCTCGTTGTCGATTGCACTGTCGATGGTATACAATGTATATCGTTTAAAGTAAGTTATGAACGACATAAGACAGCAAAGCACACGAGGAATATGAAAACATGTTTACAGAATGAACATCCTTGCCCCCAAACAATATGATGATCTGTCATTTATAACGACTATGAACTATATATCACGATAGTTCTATAGCTTAAATTATCATGAGAATATTCATTCATTTGTTTATTTATTCGTTCACCTTTTATTGTTATTTATTTAATTCATCTGTTTCAATTTTTTATATGTAAGGAATTGATGCATCATGTCTACATACATTTAATTGCCTTACTGTGATATAGACTTACTGATTATTTGATTGGTTAGTTGGACTCTTTATCTGTGTATTCAGACCGATCTTTCGTCGTTTTACTCGTTTCTGGTTTTCAGATGAAAGTGCATGTACCAGGAATGTAGAAGATAAAAAAGGCGGTATATCATGCATAAGTTTTCCTTGCTTATTACTACTGTGTTGTAGTCCAACGTTGTGGTAGTTTATTACTGACAAGAGGGGGAGAGGAATGCATTGATTAGGTCGGGGATGTCGGGGATGTCGAGGATAGGTGGAGGTAACTGTCCTTGCTATCATCTTTGTGAGGTATTCACTCGTGCCTCCGATGTGAGACTCGTTATAATGATCACGATTGCTCTTTTTTATCTCAGCTTACAACCTACGTCAACAGTCCGTATGTGAAACTGGCACCGAATTGATAGTTATACCAGATATTGTTAATTCCGCTAGAAGTTACGTACTAATAACACAGGATTTAAATGAGTTTTCATTTTATATCAGAACTTATAAAGCGGGTCATAGAAGCTAATGTTTTACCAGTTTTGTCGAGAAAAAAAATTAAGCTAGTAGTTGCGAAAGAAGTTTTTCCAACTTATATCAATCACTCTTGTTGACTCGGAGGGAATCGAACCCCGGACGGCTAGGTGAAAGGCGGGTGCGTTACCACTTCGACCAACCAACCGTCGTGATTCTTTTTTAATCACATCACTCAGAAAATATCATTCTACAGGTTTTTAAGTGAAAATTAAGATGACAAATCGAACAGAAACAGCCATTTAGTTACGTTATTTTCCAATCATGGCGTAACATCATTTCCATATAATGAGAGAAAAGTTTGATCGGCGCATCCAATGAGAAACGCTCCAGGCTGTATTACACTAGTGACATACTCAATGTGATAAAACACGGGATTCGTGCAAAATGAAATCGATGAAAAGCTTATTTAGAGTTATTGAGATCTCCCAGTCCTAATCATTATCAAAACCTGACAATGAAACGTGCGGTGAATGTAGAATGAAGCTTGGTGCTGTATTATCTGGTGAACTATATGGTATGTCTTATTATACAACGCGTGTTACTGTTGGTGTCAGTTACACTGATATTTGTTTTGTTACCTTGTTGAAACTATAAATTATTTAATAAGATTGATTTCACTGTCGATTATGCACTCCGTATATACATAATACTGCATGTATAATTGTACACGGTTGTTAATATTAAAAGTTGATTTCACATATAAAATATATTACCACCTACCGCACATCATAACCCCCAGTTTATCATCCATGAAATGCATTCATTCTATATCTCATCGTACCTAACATCTGCCATTCTATTAAAGGAGGCGTTTTCTTACTGTGCGCGGAATGACCATCGCTGACCAGTCTGATTGGCTCGTTAGTGAATACTGGCCGAGACATCAATAATGAATGTTGTACCCCACTAGTTACCCGCACAAATTGGCAGCAGGGTAATACACATGCTTCATCTGGTGTTAGGTCCGATATTATGTCCGAAGTGACCGATATGCTAATCAGTGTTTGTCAATAAGCGGGCCAGATGTGGGCTCGAGTGTAAACACATCAACATGCTGTTAACAAGCACTGGTCAGTCTCAGCAACCGTAAGTAAACACTGTACATCGACCGTCATTCGTTAGTGTCCGGACAGTATTTGTATGTTTCGAGTGATCAGCTTGTCGACATGGCGGACTGGACAGTGTCCGTGGTGCATGTGAATTTGCCTTTCAACTTAACTTATAACGAAACGTTCAATCTGACGTCAAACGAATCTGACGTCATCCAGAACGATCAAGCATGGCTGATGTGGCGGAGTGTGGGGATGGGGATAATAATGTACGCCGCAGTCTTTTTGACAATTTGCGGAAACATCCTCGTCCTTATCGCAGTCGCTAGGAATAAACGTCTTCAAACCGTCTTCAATATCTACGTCATTAATTTAGCTGTAACAGACCTGTTGGTTGCCGTCACCGCCATGAGTTTCTACACTACGGAAACTGTTTTGGGTTACTGGCCCTTTGGCGAGTTTCTGTGTGGAATCTGGATATTTGTGGATTATGGAATGACGTTTGCGTCAGTTTTCACACTCATAGCAATCTCCGTGGATAGATTCTGGTCCGTGACATGGAGTCTTCATTATCGAGCACACCATAACAAGATTAAAGCAGTGCGAGTCATTGTAGCAGTGTGGTAAGTTTACATTTCAAAGTAACATGGCATCTTGTAACGATAATTCAGCACAATTCCGCCATTCGTAAAGGTTGTGAGAAAGTAATTTCATCGCGTAAGATAGAATTTCCAACTCAAACTCCAATGAGCATAGAACAATATTAAATCTCACCCTCATTGCCTATGTCTTTGATCTAAAGCTGCTTAGTCACTAGAACTATTTTTTGGAACTTGTCATTGACGATAAAGAACCGTCAAACTCCTTAATACAAGACTTTCATCGATCTCACTCAATCAAATCGTGTTGCAATTACATAGACTTCGGTGTATGTCAGAGACTGAATAACCATAGACAGACTTTCAGAGACAACCTCAAAAAACAAAATCAATTTCGTGAATAACATATACCACGAAAGACTGTCATAGCTAAAAATAGATCCTAGGTCTCATTCAAGAATGTCAAGAAAGACTAATGCCTAAAGCTGTCAGTACAGGGTTAAAACTGAACACCCTCTTTACACGCGCCATCATGTTTCAGGTAAACACAATAATGTGTCAGTGCATGTAAGATTAGTTTACTTCTTTATTCTGACGTCACTAACGCTGAGTTTTGAAGGTCGCGAAAAAAAAATGGCAATGACCGATTTATGGGAGAAAAAAATCATAAAACCTAAAAGGCAAGAAGAAATACTTTTCCTAACAGTAACAAAAAATGGTGTACACCGGTAAAACACTTCAATCATATCAGTACAGTAGGTATAACAGACCCGCCATATTTGTACAGTAAGTGTACCGCCCTGTGTAACAGACCAGCTATATCTGTACAGTAAGTGTACCGCCCTGTTTAACAGACCCGCCATATCTGTACAGTAAGTGTACCGCCCTGTAAAACAGACCCGCCATATCTGTACAGTAATTGTACCGCCCAGTAAAACAGACCCGCCATATCTGTACAGTAAGTGTACCGCCCTGTATAACAGACCCCTGTCATATCTGTACAGTAAGTGTACCGCCCTGTATAACAGACCCGCCATATCTATACACTAAGTGTACCGTCCTGTATAACAGAACGTCATATCTGTACAGTAAGTGTACCGCCCAGATAACAGACCTGTCATATCTGTACAGTAAGTGTACCGCCCTGTATAACAGACCCCTGTCATATCTTTACAGTAAGTGTACCGCCCTGTATAACAGACCCGCCATATCTGTACAGTAATTGTACCGTCTTGTTGACAAACATCATTGATATTTCCCTTACCTCCCGGCCAACGTGTGCACAACGTTGTTCTGTACGATCGACCCAAGGTCTAATGTTTTACATGTAAATAAATGGCTGGAGTTGTCACAGCAGACGTTTTTTCAAATACGCGTTGGAATTAATATTATGTAATAGCTTCAATCGACATTTCCAATCAATACCTTTCTCTACACCTGGAGAAAATCAATCAGTTTTTGTGTGAAAGTATTAGCCAAGTCAAGAGTTTGTTTTGTTTGGTCTACCAAATGGAGAATAGAGAATGATGTTGATCTTCCAGCTTCAACAGAAAGTATTGAAATGAAACAATATTGGTTTCATTATACATTACCGTCGCCCGGACAGTATTGAACTATACGTTTATATATGATCAAATTGCTTACATAACAGGTATAGTGTGGCTCAATATACGCAAACGTTTATCATGACCGATACGAGTGTCTGACAGACATTGATCTGACAGCTTTGAATGAAGCGCTCCAGTAATTATCTCGCCACTAATACCACATCGCCATTGCTTGCAGGCTTGTAAAACGTCCCTGAAATTAAACAAGACAATAAATGATCTGGGATATTTATAAATATCCGGTTCAATAAGTGGGGTGCAATTGTCAGGAGCTGTCCATTGCAGTAATGAGCTGTATCATTGGACAACTGCGTGCTGAATGTGAACATGCTTTATACATGTTTTTAAAACATGCTATGTAGTATATTTAAGATATGTTTATCGACGAACGGAACGTTAACAATATGTATGATGTTGGGATTTAGTGGACGGGTTGCACAGTAATAAGGCACTCGCTTAGCCGTCCGGGGTTCGATTCCCAGAACGGATCTGAAAAGGTCTGGGAGGTCACCTGTCCAACTACGTTGTTTTTTTCACGTGCCCCGGTTTAATCCCATATTAAGGCCCTTTGCGCACTTACATCCGGGTAAACTGTAGTGAATGATATAAGCTTAAAGCTTGCTTCGCATTTGTTGAAAAACATTTCGCATTAGTCACACTGTAATTCTAGGTGTCGCTGGGTAACATATCTAGGATATATATTTTGTTAACGGCCTTTGAGTTTGTTTGTTTTTATTGTGCGTTCGTTCGCTCGTTTATTTGTTTGTTTGTTCCAAAATCTCGTAAACTTAAAATTAGAATGATATTCGCTGATTTACCAAAAGTGAAGGACTCTTTAAAAATACAAAACAGTTTTAAGTATTTGATAATGTAGATTTTTGGTCAAGTGTTAAAAATATGAAAATCAAAGCAGTTATATGTCTTTGTAAGTAAGCATAACTAGAGTTTTATGAATTGTGTGTGTTACCAAACCAAATCAATAACTGAACTACATATAATGACCAGCCATGAACAACTGGGTCGCTGGAAAATTTATCTGAGAACGGTATTAAGATTTTCTGACCTGCTCATTGCCTGAAAAGGTATCTTAACTTATAAAATATCCGTTTAAGCTGTCGTGTTGAAATTAAAACATGTTAAAAATTATTACATAATTCTTATAAGCTTAACAAATATATACATTTATGTCTTTGAATTTATGTTGCCGAAAATGTTCAAAATTAAATAGATAAAGAAATAAAATTTGAACTTTTCAAGACAAGAACGCATAATGTTTAGCTGATATTCTTAAAAATGCTGGTGAACATGAATAAGGTATGGAAGGTACCCAAATAATATGTGTTGATGATGTTACATGCACAATGAAAAATATTACTTGAATTTAATCATGATCTAATGTTAATGAAATAATATCCATGCTAATAATCAAATAATTTCATTCCATTACATTCGTGCCAATAGATAAACAGATGGTAATGAAATAATATCAAAATATATCGTTAATTAAATTGCAGTGCCTATTTCACATCAATTTCTAATCAATCATGTTATATTTCGCTTAGTACCTTTCCCCTGTAACATTTACAATTCAGATATCACTTTAAAAGTTCTCGTGCCATTTTTCACTACTGTTGGTTCAGAATCATCTGGTTATTGTAACGATGACAAAATAATGTCCTGTTATTGTCATTACTATGACAAAGAATGTAACACAGAGTTGGACACGAGTCTTTTACATGACATGTAACTATTATTCAAGCCATAGCTTAGATTAATGTAAAAAATATCAAAAACAATGTGTTCACTGTGTGTTTTGAAAGTGTTTTTATTAAAATCATATACCATCGATATAATTGTCTTTTCGTAAATAAGATATGGCCGTGTTTATCGAGTTTATAACACAACAAATGTACTGAATCATTCAAATCGTTTTCCCTCCATTTCAGGGTCTTTACGCTAATCCTGTGGCTGCCAGCATGTATAATGGACAGACTCAACAACTCAATACCCAACAAATGCGTGTGGGAACCGTCCAAAAACAAAGAGTTTGTTGTCGTCATTGCAACCATTGGTCATCACGGAGCATTCACAGTCATGGTTGTCTGCTACACCAAAGTCTTTTACACGCTTGTACAGCGCCAAAAAGTGGGGCTTGGTCATTCACGACTCTCAGAGAGATCGCCTAGATTAGAATCGCCTATTAACAATCGTTATGCTAGACCAGGCCAAGAGAGTCCGGCGGAATTGTCTGTAGAAAGTCAAATTAACGTTGACACCTCAAGTGACTCTTCGCACGATACACACCTGGCCAGGCTGGTCGCGTCACATACACCGTCCGTAACCGCCACAGACACGGGACACGAAAATGGGAACAAATGTTACGGTATCCATCTCGAACCAATATATAGTCCAACTGTGAATTCCTCCACACAGACAGACAATGATAACGACTGTATAAAATGCCAAAATGAAACAGGCAAGACCAAAAGGCGGCACAGAAGTTTCATCAGCAGACACAGCAGGAAGCGAAAACAGAGAAAAGAGGAGGCAAAATATGAGAAACATGAGAGGAGAGTGTTTACAACACTTACCTACATCCTCGCCGGTTACGTGATATGCTGGCTTCCATTCCATATCGTGTTTGACGTCCGAGCCGCCAAACCGGAAGCAGTATCTTCCATTGTTTATAATTTGACGTTTTGGTTGTCTTACCTCAATTCAATGATCAATCCGTTTTTATATAACTTTAGTAGTTCCGATTTCCGTACAGCATTTAAACAGTTGTTATGTAAAAATAAGCCTCCGACAGCTTCAACTAAACTTTAAGGTATAGATTTAACTAAACTCTGAGATACAGCATCAGCTAAACTCTGAGGTATAGATTTAACTAAACTATGATATATAGCTTCAACTGAACGGTGTTATATACAGTAGTATTAACTAAACTATGAGATACAACATCAGCTAAACTGTGAGATACAGCATCAGCTAAACTGTGAGATACAGCATCAGCTAAACTGTTAGTTACAACATCAGCTAAACTGTGAGATACAGCATCAGCTAAACTGTTAGTTACAACATCAGCTAAACTGTGAAATACAGCATCAGCTAAACTGTGAAATACAGCATCATCTAAACTGTGAAATACAACATCAGCTAAACTGTGAAATACAGCATCAGCTAAACTGTGAGATACAGCATCATCTAAACTGCTAGTTACAACATCATCTAAACTGTGAAATACAGCATCAGCTAAACTATGAAATACAACATCAGCTAAACTGTGAAATACAGCATCAGCTAAACTGTGAAATACAGCATCATCTAAACTGTGAAATACAGCATCATCTAAACTGTGAAATACAGCATCATCTAAACTATGAAATACAGCATCATCTAAACTATGAAATACAACATCAGCTAAACTGTGAAATACAACATCAGCTAAACTGTGTGATACAGCATCAGCTAAACTGTGAAATACAGCATCAGCTAAACTGTGAGATACAGCATCAGCTAAACTGTGAGATACAGCATCAGCTAAACTGTGAAATGCAACATCAGCTAAACTATGAAATACAACATCAGCTAAACTGTGAAATACAGCATCAGCTAAACTGTTAGTTACAACATCAGCTAAACTGTGAAATACAGCATCATCTAAACTGTGAAATACAGCATCATCTAAACTATGAAATACAGCATCAGCTAAACTATGAAATACAGCATCAGCTAAACTATGAAATACAGCATCATCTAAACTATGAAATACAACATCAGCTAAACTGTGAAATACATCATCAGCTAAACTGTTAGTTACAACATCAGCTAAACTGTGAAATACAGCATCAGCTAAACTGTGTGATACAACATCAGCTAAACTATGAAATACAACATCATCTAAACAATGAAATACAACTTTAAGATATGGCATCAGCTAAACTGTTAGTTACAGCATCAGTTGAATATGAGATACAGCATCAGCTATTCTATAAGATATAGCATGTTCCATACGTTATGGATTGTGCCCCTTGGGTGTCGTACAGACCCCAAGCTCCGACTTCACATAACAAACTTATTGATAAATATACGGTTATTGCTCTGAATAATGACTAAGGTACTGTATTGATAAACAAGTAATATACATGTTGTTTACTCCGATCTGTAAACAATATCCACGATTGGGATACAACAACAATTTGTCGGTGTGAAAATGCACATAATGGTCAAACTCCTGCTATAAATAACACAAGGCAGCTGTGAGCTCTGTTTGAAAAAACTATGTCCTCTTTCTAACGATCGTCAAGTGTTCACTTTCGTACAATTACGCACAATATAATACCATATGACAATGTAATAAAAACTAATGTCTAATTTTTTCTTTTTTTATTTCATGTTATCTTTTAATTTATTTATATCAGCTCTTGTTTTTTTCTTTGATTTCTTTTTTCTTCATGTAATAGGTTGCAGGCTGGTTGGGTAACAGACGTCATTATCATTCATCATCAAAGTTGCAGATAAAATTCGAATGAAAACTCATGAATTATTTTCATCGACCAACCCAATTATATGTACATAGAATAACATACGTCATAATTCAAATGCATTTTCACTTCAACTCAACATAATGACGCAAATGTTAAACTTCAACCTTGGTACAAATCAGTCATTTTGTGAACGTTGATGAGAACATCACATGTACTTGCTGAACCACATTGGCCAAATGCTGTTATTTACTCAAAAATAAATAAAAACATTAATAATATTTTACAGCATAATTTATTTTTGATTCATCATTATAATCAGCAATCACCAAAATTGCAAGCAACCGATGATTTTCTTTATTTACATACTGGTTTTCCGGTAACAAGAAAATTTGAAATAAAACGATGTAGCCTAAAGTGCAGATCCTTGTCTAACTGCAGTGGTGGTTTACGAGATAACACCAAAACATATGAACTGCTTCTGTTCACAACACAATTAAATTAACTGATATTACATTTATTTCAATGCATTTTGACAATTATTTAATACATCGTTACGATACTTTATTGTTAATATCAACCTCGATACACCATCGTTACAGACATATAGTAATTTGTACATAATTATATATACTGGTTTATACATGATGTGCATGTATGAAAAGTATTGGAAAATATGATCCTTTTGTAACTTGAGGGTAGGATAGTCTTCTCCTTCGGGTAGAGATATATCTGCGCTACCCCAAGACTAGAGAAAATATCGTGTTAGTCAGAAATCCTCTCCTCTGGTAGACATTTCTCTGTTCTACCATGAAACTAAGGAAAGATTATATCAATCGGTGAGATACCAATATTTTTGTTTTCAGGAACAAAATTTTATTTTTGCTTGTTCAGGCTGGCGTCAACGTGCCAAACTGACAGTATCATTTGTTTAAATCAAACAATTGCTTCTGAAGTTGTAGTATATAATAGCAATTGAAATGAATGTATGATGGATTTATAACACCGAGGGATCGTTTCCTTACATCGTCATCGATTGTTTATCAAATGCATGTTATAATGGGCAGATGGTGGACGTGTTCAATGTGAAATTAGATACCGATTATATTTCACTGTTCAGTGGGTCGATATTGGATTTTTACACAGCTGAACCTATCTGACACTCCCTGTACAGTGCCACAAACAGTATATAATCACATATAGGTGACACTCCGAACAATGTATGGCCTCTCTGGACTGTCACTGATGTACTCACTACGGGGCCGTGACTCCTTTATAAGGAAGTAGACAGTCGGGTCTGTAGTGTACTGGGTCGTGACTCCTGTATAAGAAAGTAGACGGTCGGGTCTGTAGTGTACAGGGCCGAGACTCGTGTATAAGGAAGTAGACTGTCGAGTCAGTAGTGTACAGGGTCGTGACTCCTGTACAGGGAAGTAGACAGTCGGGTATGTAGTGTACAGGGCCGTGACTCCTGTATAAGGAAGTAGACTGTCGGTCTTGTAGTGTACGGGGCCGTGACTTCTGTATAAGGAAGTAGGCTGTCGGTCCTGTAGTATACAGGGTCGTGGCTCCTGTACAAGGAAATAGACAGTTGGTCCTGTAGTTTACAGGGCCGAGACTCCTGTACAGGAAAGGAGACTGTCGGTCTTGAAGTGTACGTGGCCCTGACTCCTGTATAAGGAAGTAGACAGTTGGTCCTGTAGTGTACGGGGCGGTGACTCCTGTACAGGAAAGGAGACTGTCGGTCTTGAAGTGTACGTGGCCCTGACTCCTGTATAAGGAAGTAGACAGTTGGTCCTGTAGTGTACGGGGCGGTGACTCCTGTACAAGGAAATAGACTGTCGGTACTGTAGTGTACTGGGCCGTGACTCCTATACAGGGAAATAGACAGTTGGTCCTGTAGCTTATAGGGCCGTGACTCCTGTACAAGGAAATAGACAGTTGGTTCTGTAGTTTACAGGGTCGTGACTCCTGTACAGGGAAGTAGACTGTCGGTCTTGTAGTGTACGTGGCCCTGACTCCTGTATAAGGAAGTAGACAGTTGGTCCTGTAGTGTACGGGGCGGTGACTCCTGTACAAGGAAATAGACTGTCGGTACTGTAGTGTACTGGGCCGTGACTCCTATACAGGGAAATAGACAGTTGGTTCTGTAGTTTACAGGGTCGTGACTCCTGTACAGGGAAGTAGACTGTCGGTCTTGTAGTTTACAGGGCCGAGACTCCTGTACAGGGAAGTAGAAAGTTGATCCTGTAGTGTACAGAGCCGTGACTTCTGTACAAGGAAATAGACAGTTGGTCCTGTAGTTTACAGGGCCGTGACTCCAGTACAAGGAAATAGACAGTTGGTCCTGTAGTATACAGGGCCGAGACTCCTGTATAAGTAAATAGACAGTCGGGTCTGTAGTGTACGTGGCAGTGACTCATGTATAAGGAAGTAGACAGTCGGTCTTGAAGTGTACAGGGCCGTGACTCCTGTATAAGGAAGTAGACAGTTGGTCCTGTAGTGTACGGGGCGGTGACTCCCGTACAAGGAAATAGACTGTCGGTACTGTAGTGTACTGGGCCGTGACTCCTATACAGGGAAGTAGACAGTCGGTCTTGTAGTGTACGGGGCCGAGACTCCTGTATAAGGAAGTAGGCTGTCGGTCCTGTAGTATACAGGGTCGTGGCTCCTGTACAAGGAAGTAGACAGTTGATCCTGTAGTGTACAGAGCCGTGACTCCTGTACAAGGAAATAGACAGTTGGTCCTGTAGTTTACAGGGCCGTGACTCCTGTACAGGGAAGGAGACTGTCGGTCTTGTAGTGTACAGGGCCGAGACTCCTGTATAAGTAAATAGACAGTTGGTCCTGTAGTTTACAGGGCCGTGACTCCTGTACAGGGAAGGAGACTGTCGGTCTTGTAGTGTACGGGGCCGAGACTCCTGTATAAGGAAGTAGGCTGTCGGTCCTGTAGTATACAGGGTCGTGGCTCCTGTACAAGGAAGTAGACAGTTGATCCTGTAGTGTACAGAGCCGTGACTCCTGTACAAGGAAATAGACAGTTGGTCCTGTAGTTTACAGGGCCGTGACTCCTGTACAGGGAAGGAGACTGTCGGTCTTGTAGTGTACAGGGCCGAGACTCCTGTATAAGTAAATAGACAGTTGGTCCTGTAGTTTACAGGGCCGTGACTCCTGTACAGGGAAGGAGACTGTCGGTCTTGTAGTGTACAGGGCCGAGACTCCTGTATAAGTAAATAGACAGTCGGATCTGTAGTGTACGTGGCCGTGACTCCTGTATAAGGAAGTAGACAGTCGGTCTTGTAGTGTACAGGATCGTGACTCCTATAAAGGGAAGTAAACTGT